AGTTAAAGAATGTGATAGGACCAGACACAGTGGCTCATGCCTGTAATACCAGCACTCTGGAAGGCCAAGTCTGGGGAATCACTGGAGGTCAGCAGTTTGAGACCAGCCTGGCTAACATGGTTAAATCTGTTTCTACCAAAAATACAAAAAGAAAAACAAACAAACAAAAACTATCTGGGTGTGCTGGCATGCTCTTGTAATCCCAGCTACTTGGGAGGCTGAGGCACAAGAATCACCTGAACCCTGGAGTTAGAGGTTGCAGTGAGCTGAGTTCACGCCACTGCACTCCAGTCTGGGCGACAGAGGAAGACTCTGTCTCAAAAAAAACCAAAAAGTGATAGTTTTGGTTTTGTGGGGTTTGTTTTGTTTTGTTAATGATGAAACTACTCAGATGTAAAGGGCATGTTGCTTTTCTTTTAGTTTGTCTTCTTATGCTTGCAATGCACTTTCAATTCCATCAGTGCAAGAGTGCTTAGCACAGTTTAGGTAGTGCTGTATCATTGTATTGCACTTCATCACATCAATATTGGAAGATGACCTCTAGAATTGTTTGCTGGAAGTACTGTTGAAAATAGAATTGAACCAAATTTCTTGAAACACTCAAAGCTTTCACCCTGTTTTTCCTATGAAACTTATATTTGTCTGTGATGATCAGAATGGATTCCCAATGGAATAGTATGTTCTGTTTTAAACCTTTTTAATGTTTATTCTTACCATAAGAACTAGAAATAACTTTTTTTTTTGGAGACAGAGTGCTCTGTCGCCCAGGTTGGAGTGCAATGGTACAATCTTGGCTCACTGCAACCTCCGCCTCCAGGGTTCAAGCAATTCCCCTGCCTCATCCTCCTGAGTAGCTGAGACTACAGGCATGCACCACCATGCCCAGCTAATTTTTGTATTGTTAGTAGAGACAAGGTTTCACCATGTTGGCCAGGCTGGTCTCGAACTCCTGACATCAAGTGGTCTACTCGCCTCAGCCTCCCAAAATGCTGGGATAACAGGCATGAACCACCATGCTTGGCCATAGAAATCACTTTTTAACAGCTTTATTGAGATATAATTCACATACCATACAGTTCACACATTTAAAATGTGCAGTTCAGTAGTTTTGAGTATATTCACAGAGTTGTACAGTTTGTATGTAATCGTATCATCAGTTTGCATGTAATCATATCATAGGTAATCTTTTGTGACTAGTTTCTTTCCCTTGGTATAATATTTTCAAGATTCATGCATGTTGTGGCATGTATCAATACTTCATTGTTTTTTATGACTGACTAATATTATGATATATGGATGTAGCAAATTTTGTTTTTCCATTCATTAGTTGATGGACATTTGGGTTATTTCCACCCTTTGGCTGTTATGAATAATGCTGCTATTAACATATGCAAAAGTAACTTTTGAGAATTATGAAAATATAGACTCTATTTTAGAGCCAAACGGATCCCTAGAGATAACCTAAATCATAGCTTCCGTTTTCAGATGATTGAACTCAAACACAGGGAAATAAAATGACTTGCTCAGTCACATATACAGAAACAAATGGAAAACACTCTACACACATGTCTAAAGAATAGCCATTTGTACACGAAGTTAATGATCATGGCATGTATTTGGGATTAATAGTGGAGTTTTCCCCCATTAGAAGCTTAGTACAGGGAAGAGTCTATTGTCATTCAAGAGAAAAACTAGCTAACTTGCAGAGGAAACTGATCTCCTGACCTTGCTCCTGTTAGCAATGAGCTCTAATATATAGACACTTACTGCACTAGAGATTAAAAATGACTCTGGACAGGGCAGCTTAAGTTGTTTTTATGTTAGGCACGTAGTAGGTACTCAGTAAACACTTGTTGAATTGGAGACTACAAAGAAATTTAATGGAAGCATATCAGAACACTATTGTCCACAGAATTTCTAAAGCCTTCCATATAAATTTCTAGGAATATTCTTATACTAAAAAAATTGCAAGTAATTTACTCACCCTTAGTTATTATATAAGCATTCCTATAGTGCAAAGAAAAAACAATTTGGAATGCTACTTCTGTTTACGTTGCAGAGTATTTGATATTTACCCTGAGAAAGAGGAAATAGTTTTTAGTTTATTTCCTAGAGTTACTGTATTCATTAATGCAGTTTAAGGAAAATGAAACTCCTATTTTACATGTACATTAAAATAGGAAGGTTTCCTCTTCTGCTTCTTTTTTCTTATATAATGATAGGATAAAAGACTATTTTGTAATTATCTGGAATTAATTCTACTTTGGTTTTTTAAGATAAAGATTTATTCAATTGAATTTACCTTTGATTTTTTTTTTTTTTTTAGAAAAGAACTTGGATTCTCTTATTCCTATTACAGATAGCAACCATTACTATTTTGTATTTGGAGAAATGTTTTGTCATAGACACTGAGCAGTTTATACGCTGGGGATAAACATACTTCTGCAATGGAAAATGTTAAGAGTGATGTTACATTCAGTCTTCTTTAATTTTTCTAAGTAGATGTAGTTCAAAATTGAATTTCTAATGAATATTTTAAAGTTTTCAGATTATAATAAACATTTGCAGGTCATACAATATCTCAGCTGATAGGGATACACTGAAGGAAATTATGGCAAGCCCATTTTTACACATAAAAATGGCAGATGAACTTTGTTTTGACCAAGTACACATGAGTACACTTTAAAAATTGTAAATTAATCTTTCGACCTATGTCCTCTTCTTGCGAAGAAATTTGTATATATCTATATTTCTAAATTTAAAATCCCTTTCAAATTTTAAGCCATCATTTTAAGATAAGCTGTAAAATAAATTTGACTTCTGATATCAGATATAGACTTACAGTATTGTTGCTAAACAAATACCGGACTCCAGAACCAAAGTATAGTACATTATAACCCTTATGCAAATTATCCCAAAGCCAGATATGGAAATTGATTTTAGTTTTTGCACGAGAAAAGGCATGTTAATGGGAAATAGTAGGGCCAGGGGTGGTAAAAACAAGATAGGGAGAAGCCTTGGAAGTTGCTCTTTAAAATTAAGGTGCCTAAGTAACAAAGTGAAAATAATGAGGTGGGGGTGTGGTTTAAGACGTATGTTTTATAATACCTTTAAAGACCAAGCTCAGGAAAACATGGTATCTTCTCATCAGATCTAAGAATAAAACTCAGGGAAGCTGGGTGCGGTGGCTCACAGCTGTAATCCCAGTGCTCTGGTAGGCAGAGGCAGGAGGATCGCTGGAAGCCGGGAGTTGGAGATCAGCCTGGGCAACATAGTAAGACTCTGTCTCTACAAATTTTTTTTTTTTTAAAGTGTCTGTGCATGGTAGCATATGCCTGTAGTCCTACCTACAAGCTGAGGTAGGAGGGTTACTCTAGCCCAGGAGTTTGAGGCTACAGTGAGTTATGATCATGCCACTGTACTCCAGCCTGGATGACAGATTAAGACCCTGTCACCCTCCCCACCAAAAAAAGACTTCAGAAGACTTGAACTTACTAGAAATAAAAATAAAGAATTGAACTGCTTTACTCAGATCATTATATTAAAGGAATGGAACTGAAAGGCTAGAGAAAAAATTAAGCATTTAGAAAAAAACAGTAAGTATCAGTATTTTACAGTCAGCAAAGTGATTATAAAGAGAAACTAATTTCGCTGTCTAGGTTAAAATAACTCTTGAAACTAAAATTAGAAATTAAATGCTGGCCTGAATAGACCATTGATACACTGTGTTTTACTTTTATAAGTGACTTTCCTTTATTTTCAACTCCTTGATTTAATAGAAACCCAAGAGCCTGCCTGTTTCTCCAGTGTCAGCTTTCTGGCAGGTCACTGCTGCACCACGGTGCTGAACTCCCTCGATTGCCACACCTGCCGAGTTATTAATTCTCCCATGCTTTCAAAGCACATTCTGTCTCTCTCTCTCTCTCTCTCTCTCTCTCTCTCTGTCTGTCTCTGAGTTCTCGTCCTGTCCATTATCTTTCTCCCAAAAATACCTACGTGACCCTCAAAATTCACTCCCTGTGTGGCTGATCTAACTGAACCTCAGCTAATCTGCCAGACTGCATAGCGCTTCAGAGTGGAAAGGCTGGAGCTCTGACTTCAGACTTGGATTGGAACCTCAGCTGTGACTGCCTCTATGGCCTTCAGCCTGTTAATTAACCTTTCTAAAACTTGTTCTTCTTATCTGAAAAATCTGGTTAGTAATTCCTTCCTCCATGATGTCTTTGAGGATTGAATGAGATAATGCACGTAAACTCTTAGCACAAAGCCTGGCTTTTTATGGTGAGCTCTCAATCAATGGTAGTTATGTATGCCTTTTTTTTTTTTTAAATAATAATCACATTTCAAGTTTCCATTTCTCTGCTATCTTGTAAATTCCGTGAAGGGTGGGATTGTGTTTTCTTAGCCTCTGTATCTCCAGCACCTACCAAGGATTCTAATAAGTAGTGTACACTCAGAAAATGTTTCCCGTATGAGCACCTGCCCATGGTTGTAGAAGCACCCAAAGCCCAGGTGTAGGTTGACATCAAACTTTCATTCACTTTCCAGTTGCTGCTCATCATCCTAAAAAGCAGCAGAAAGTCAAAATGATGTCAGAAACAAGCCTTGACCCATTTTGCTGGCACAGTCCCCCTCTGGCTGAGGTGAGGGTGTTCAGGAGAGGATGACAGGATAATTTGCGTGCCTCCTGCACATCTTTGTCTCAAGAATTCCACATTCAGAGTTAACAGTTTGGGAAATTGTGTATCTGTTAAATCAAAACTGTATTAACAAACCCTTAATAAATTTGCAGTAAGGTAATAATTGAAAGAAGTTAGCAAAAACAATTTTCTTTTTCCTTCTTTCCTTCTACAGGTATCCCCGTATTCTTTTGATTTTGTTTCAGTGACTAAAGATTTGAAAATACTTTATTTACTAATGTTATGAAAAATATTTTTTCATCAACTAATTTCATCCCCCCAAAGAATGTGGTGTTGTATTTTTTTTTTTTTTTTTTTTTTTGCTGTTCCAGTCAACGAAAGGGACACTTTATTGAGGCTCCAGGGCCACGGGGCCTGGGCAGGAGGTTGCCCTTCAAGGAAAGAAGAGCCTTATTTGACCTTCTTCTTGGGGCGCAGGTTGTTGGTGTGGCCACACTTCTTCTTGTGGCAGTTGACAGCACGAGGGTGAAGGCGAGCGTAGCACTTGCGGCAGATCATCTTGTCGCGGTTGTATTTCTGGGCAAGCTGGCGGAGGGAAGGCTCAATAATGCCACCTCGCAGGCGCAACACCAGGTGCAGGGTGGACTCTTTCTGGATGTTGTAGTCTGAGAGAGTGCAGCCATCTTCCAGCTGTTTGCCGGCAAATATCAGACGCTGCTGGTCAGGTGGGATACCCTCCTTGTCTTGAATTTTGGCTTTGACGTTCTCAATGGTGTCACTGGGCTTGCCCTCAAGGTTGATGGTTTTGCCCGGGAGGGTCTTCACAAAGATCTGCATGTTTGCGTCTGCAGCTCAGCCGCTTTGCTGAAGAAAAAGAGGATTGTTGTATTTTATGTTCTAAATTACTGCCTCCCTAAGACAATGTTTTTATGTTTATAATAATGATAAACATCACTTTTCTGAACAAGATCTCAAAGACAAATGAAAGCTTCCAGCTGCCTTGAAAATAGTTTGGGGACTAAACCCAACATTTCTTCAAACCTTAAACAACCTTTGTGTTTGGCGTGAAGTGAAATAATTTTTTTTTTCCTGCTCTCAAGCCAGAACAAACAGATATAGTGTGTGGCAAGGCCATACTCAAACATTACCTTGCCCGAACATATCATTTTCTGGGTTCTCTGTATACCACAAAGAGTACAGTGTTAAAATTATGGGCATAATGGCAAAGCTCCCACCTCTAATTGTGCAGTTGGAAAAAAGAAATTATTTTCTTTAAGTGAGGATGGGAGAAAACCCATGGCACAGCTGCAGATTCATTAAGTTTTGAATAGATGGGAAAAAGAAAATTTAAAATAATCAATGTACAGATATCAGAGAATGCTTCTAGGCAAAATTAGTTTTACAAATTATAAACAGTATGTTTTCAAAATGTTTAATCAAACACTACTGCAAGCACTCAGCAAAATCTTGATGATACTGATTTTATTCAACAGCCATTTACTAAGCACATGCAGTGTTCTAGGTACCTAGCTAGGTGCTGGTGTTGCAAAGATAAAGACTAATCTGGAAACGAGACAAGCCTCTGAGCCTATGAATTTCAGTGTTATGTGCTAAGCAGTCGGTTATAGCTATGAACAAAGTGTCTTGAAGCCTGGAGGAAGAAGCAGCTCCCTCTCCAGGGTGCTAGAGATGGCTTCCCAGATTAGATGACACTTGAACTGAGAGATGAAGTATTTACCAGGCAGAGAGAGGTGGAGAAAGGATTGAAGGTAGAAAGAACAACATGTACAAATGGAAAGAGTTGCAAAACTGCAATGAGAGGTTTGTAGAGATATGTTGGGTTGCAATTGGGAGGGACTTCATGTGCCAGATTGAGGCATGTGGATTGTATCCCAAATGCAATGGGGAAGTAGGAGAGGCTAAGGATGAACTGGTATGGAAAACAGGGAAATAGTCTTGCCCCTGCGAAAGACTAATGCAGTGGAAATGGAAAGGAGAGATCTGACTCGAGAGACACATCCTTTTTTTGGAGGCATAATCCATACAATTTGGTAATTGATCAAATATGTAGGTAAGAGATTGTCTTAGTCCATTTTGTGCTGCTATAACAGAATAGCATGGGCTGGATAATTTATAATGAACAGATACTTATTTCTTACAGTTCTGGAGGCTGGAAAGTCCAAGCTCAAAGTTCTCACATCTGACAAGGGCCTTCTAGCTCTGTCATCCCATGGCAGGCGGCAGAAGGGCAAGAAAGTGAACTCAGTGAACAGAGAGGAGAGGGTCAAACTCATCCTTTTACCAGGAACCTGCTCCCGTACTAACCATCCCACTCCCACAATAACAGCATTAATCCAATCTTGAGGGCAGAGCCCTCATTACCTAATCATCTCTTAAAGGTTCCACCTCTCAACAACTGTTTCACTGGGGATCAAGTTTCTAACACATAAACTTTGGGAGACACATTTAAACTGTAGCAGGGATAAACATCCTTAAGGAAAACAGTTGGCTTATAAACACAGTGTAAATGTTGTAACAAGAATAAGATTCTATTCTGTGAGTTCTACACATGTCTCAGCCCAGGATTCCCTGAGAAGTGCACTGTCAATCAATCAGCAGGCAGTCATGGTTCACTTTTCACCTTCTAGCTGTAGAAAGAGATGCAAAACAAATGGAAGGTAAAGCAACTCCCCTTCCCACCCCCTACTTAAGAGCTCTGTTCCTTTTCCCCCCCGCATGCACATACCCCTACCTCCAAGCAATTTCTTAGACATTACAAGCTGTTAATCAGAAGGACATTCAGAGCTGGCACTAGCTGAGTGAGTAGGATTGAAATAGAATGAGATGATCCTTAGTTTTCTCAAAGTATAATATTTCTTTGATTCTAGAAGACAGAATAGGTGATAAACAATGCCACAGTCATACAAATAAGAAAGAGCCATGGAGGCTGTGTCCTATGCAAAATGGTCTGCTTCACTGTGTCTCTGAGTCTCATTCTTGACACCGTCCTATGGTGTAACTAGGGAAGGACTATTTAAGAGAGATTTGGAGATATTCTGTCAGATCCTTCTGGCCTTCCACAACTATGTCATCATGCCCACTACTGGGCATATCCAGATCCATTTTCTCTCTGCTTTTCTTTACCATCTACACTCAGCAAAATCTGTACTTCTTTGGCCCAGAGCTGATTTTGTCAGTAGGACAGAGAAAGAAAGAGTTTTTTTTTTCTTTGTCTTGTGAGAACATAGATCTTAATTCATCAGCATTCATTCAGTGTGCATTATATAGCAAGCAAGGGAGATGTGTATTTAGCATATTGTAGAACAGTATTTTTTTTTGGCCCACATTGTGTTTATTTCATGAATGATTATACTTAATAAAAAATACATTATTTAGTTTGAATCAATTGAATGAGAGAAGTTATGGCCTAGAAATAAGAATTATGAAATAATAAGAATAGTTCATTTTAATATTCTCTTGAGTCTAAAATTTAGAACAGTATTTTTTAATTTTGTGGTTCGTGATCTATTAGTGGTCATAAAGCCAATTTAGCAGGATGTGACCAATATTAATAACAAAATAGAAAATATCCCAGCAAACTAAGAATAATTTAGTGAAATTTGTGTCTGATTTATATGTATGTATACTGTCATGATATAAAATGTGTTTCTAACTGAATCATCATTAAAACTTTAAAATATTGTATCTGGACTGCTTATGAGGATAGTTCACTTGAATGAGAGGTTAGACAGACTTTTGAATACAGGCCTGGAAACCAAATCTCGGTGTCAGTATGGGAAATTGATTGTAGTCTTAGCATTCCTGTAAGTGAACTTTCAGAGCACAGCCTTTGTGTAAGATTGAAGCACCTTTGTTAGGCAGGTTTTTCTGTCTGAATTTGATATGTTCCAGGCCTCTTCCCTAGCTTCAAGTAGTTCCGTTGCTTGGGACAGCATAACTCCAGTCTTCACATGATATTCTGCCTGGGTGCATATCTGTCTCTGTGTCCAAATTTCCCCTTTCTTTAAGGACACTAGTCATATTAGATTCAGGCCCATCTTAATGACTTTATTTTAACTTGATCATCTCTGTCAAGACCCTGTTTCTAAATAAGATAACTTTCTAAAATATGAGAGATTATGGCTTCAGTGTATATTTTTGGGGTGACATAATTCAACTGATAACAATATATTTCAAATTTCCACTAAACAGACAAAAAATGGTAGAAATATTTTTCTATCTTATTGGAATGAAATCTAAATCTTTGGAAGTCTTTTTGTCTATTTGTTTTGCCTTCAAAATAATACTTCTTACTGTTAGCTAAAAATGTCTGTTGTGTGAATACTAACAACTTCAGCTCTTTGCATTTAACCTTTGGTCTGGAAAATCTATTTGCCCTTGAACTGCAATAATTTGTATTTCTACTGGCTAAGATTTGTGCTCTTAGGCACAAAGTGCAAATAATAAAACTATAAACAAAGCTGCCTGGGTTTACAAAAAAGAATTGTAAAATATCCCCCACCCCCAACAAATTACAGCTGCAAACAGTTATGAACTGATCTGAAAACTCTTACATTTGTTTTCCAGAAAAAAAAAAAAAAAAAAATGGGGACTTTTTTTTTTTTTAATGTTCTTCATTGGGACCAAACCAAAAACCTAAGCAACTGAACAGTGGCTGCCACACACCTCCCCAGTTGGCAGGGGGCGTGGTTAATGACTGAGACTGGATAAATTGAAAATGCTCAAGTACATGTGTTGCACTTTATGGTTTGAGAACAAGGAAGGAAAGGAAAATGTGCTAACTTCACTTATCATTCTCTAAGAAAATTCCTCCCCTTACATTCTGCAGCGCATGTGGAAAATGCCTGAGTTCCTGAAAAAAATGTTTACTTTATACTTTTCTTTTACTTGTCCCTCACTTTCTCTCTCTCTTTTGCTCCTTGTTTTGTTTTTTAAGCCTCATAGATGGTTTTTCTAGTTTCTTCAAAGAATGGCACCAAATTCTTAGCATTTACTTGTTTTTCTGTACTTTTCAGTACTCAAGGAACACTTACAAACTATTTCTTCTGTCTCAAACCACTTAGAAATGTAGTTAAAGTGTGTGACTAAATATGCAAATTATGTTAATTTTTTGGTAGCCAGCCACATTAACCAATTAGAAAGTTGAATTCATTGGAGAGTTAAAAAGGGAATTGAATGGAATGGTGGTTTGATCGAGTAATTGAAGGTCCATTCTGGGTGCTTGCCCTGGGAATTCTCCCAACATTTGGTTTTTCTTAGACATATACAACAGTATGCCTTTCATGATTTCCTTTAGCTTGCTGTATAATTAAACTGATAGGCATTGCACTGCATTCTGTGGCTTCAGTTTAGAAATTAGTGCAGCTCATGAAGAGATTATCAGTCTAGGTGTCGTTTATTTATGTGCATTAACCAATGTCAAGCTGTATAAAAAGTTAGACAGGACTCTGCTAAAACTTAGATAAAAATATCTAAGTTATTGGCATTCTTGGTAGTAGCTTCTTAGATTTAGACTATTATTTAGGTCTATATGATAAATGTTCTTCCCACAAGCAGTTATTTTGAGAATATAGTACCATGTATCTGAGAACATTAAGCATAATCACATAAATGAGGTGATTGCCCAAATCTCTCAGTGTATATTTGATTTTTTTAAAGTAAACTACTTATAATTGGCTGCTTAAGCTTGGCCATTATTGAGAGTCAGCAAATAGGAAATAATTAAAACATGGAGTTGTTACTGGTAACCAAGGAGGAAATCAAATGAATTCTAAGTTGTTTCAATTTGTCATTGGCTTAATTTCATAACACACACTTCCTTCTTCATTCACAGAACATTTGCTTATTTTTAAAAATTAAAAGTGAATCAATTCTCAATTTCATATTTAGGAAAAAATTATGACAAATTATACTCAATTTAGAATTTAGGCAAAATCCTTTAGTATCATTGATCATGACAGATTGACACAAAAACAGGAATAGGTGTAAATAATCTTTGTTAAAGATGTTTTGGAGCCTGTAGTAATAGTATAATATCTTCAAACAACTATATAAAAATGGTAATTTTTTCAAATGTTGTGCATTCTGGTTTGTACATTTTGTGGAGAAGTTTATTTTCTTGATTTTATTTGGAAGAATAGTCCTTGGCCATTTTTCTTTAAAATTGCCTTCAAAATCAATGCATTAAATTTATTTCTAAAATGAGTTGGCATAATCAATTTGAAATCAATGATTTAGTTGTCTCAAAATGTATGCCTCTGTTTAGATTATATTAATAAATCCCAGAAAAGTGTACTTTTAGGAAAGGGAAAAGAGAAATATGCTTTTAAAATAAAAATTGATTTATTTATCCTCATTTTCTTTCCAAATTATATTGTTTTTCTCAGGTAGTGTGCATGGATTACTCCACTGTGTACTGCTGATTGTTGACTAAATGTAATACTGACTCTGCTTTATTTTACTTAAATTTCAGTGCTTACATTTTCTTTTTTAGAACAAAAACTGGTCAAAATTCAGGGGCATAGCCAAATTAAAAATTTCTTATTTTGTCTTTCATTGATGAATTTACTTTGTGCAAATGCAGGCCAGATAAAATATTTGCTTATGATTAAAGTCTTGTGTTTCTACCAAGAGACATTCTTGACATCGTGCCAGTACATTTTAATAAATTAATCACCTTATAAGTGCTGTCAGGCATAATGCATTACGAATAGACTTTGACTAAGGTGATGTAGAGTTGCCATAATCAGAAGCATGACAAGAAGCTTATCAAGTCCACGAGATCTTGCTGTGGCTGCTGGAATGCAGACTGGCCATCGAATGCGTTTTCTTTACTAACCTAGTCATCTCGCCGTACTTTGATAGGTTAAAAATGAAGGGAAAACAATAAGAAAAATGAACTAATATGTAACACAGTAGTTTACACATGACTAGCTGCATCATCTGAATGAGTTATGTACTCACTCTGAGACTGCTTTTCCCACCTGAATTAAAGAAGAAGCAAGAAGCCAGTACCAGGAAAGTTTTGTGAGGATCTAATTGAGATAATTAATATAGGACCTGTGGTAGGATCTGGCCCGCAGTCATAATTGATATGAAATTTGTGACGGAGATAAAAGGAAAACAGTATTGCTTCTGTTTGCTGCAAAGAAATTTGGCACACAGACACACACAAATAGCTAAGACACATGAACAGCTGTGTTCAGAGCCCTGAACCATTTAAATCATCTCTCAAAAGCACTTAAGAAAACCAAGTATATTGCTAATTGAGTGCACTTCAAAGAATGTTACAGTAACCATGTTAATTTTCCTTCAGTTTGCTACATGTCAGAGTAAAGGATCTGTTCTGGGCAAAGAAAGTATGTAGTACTCATTTTACAAAATATGGAGGCCTTTCCTGGAATAACAAAATAATTATAGGTTTTTAGTGGCAGGTGTTGTTTTTGGTTTTTTTTTGTTTTTTTTTTTTTTTTGGCATAGTGTTTCTTTGGCATAATGATCAATTTCTTGATCAGGAAACCCAGTTCTAACATTTTTATAATTGTTTCGTTTAGTGTTTTCTAGGAATATTTGGAAGTCAAATGTGTAAGTGACTTCTGTCAGGTTGACTTAAAAGTAGACACCTCCTATAATAGCACTGTTTCAGGTGGTTTCCTATAACAACACCTGGGAAATGTCCAGGTGTTGTCCCCGCTAACTCTTCAACCCTGCAACCTAATTCTACAAGCTTTGCCCTCAGCCCATCCACATTACAGCCCATCACTTACCTCTCACCTGGGAAGAGTTAACACCATTAGTTATAAACATTAAGATACTTGGCAACATGGGCATTAGAACAGCTGATCAGTTTTGAAATTGGAAATCCAAATCATGAGAGAATGAAAAACAATGTGTCACATTTTATGTTCCATATTCCTTCTAAAATGTTAAGACCTATTCAACTTTCAGGACAGGATTTTGTTTGCTTATGTGTGTTTTACAGTGTAACTCCGTAATAAGAGTTTATTGACTGCAAGTTTAATACTATCAGTCAAAGCAGACTTTTCTCTTTTCATGAATGATGCTTAAGAAAATTAAGCAAAAAGAGAGACAAAGAGAATGCTGCAGTTAATTAGTTGCTTTCTCAGATGCTGTAAGGTGGTATACACCCCAGGTGATATCCAAGAGGAACCCTAGGAGACAAAAGAAAATATTAGACCTTCTTTTTCATTTTATTTAATACTTTTTCTACTTTTATCTGTTTAATGATGTACATAATATATATATATTTAATCAGTTATATATTTGAGGGGAGTGGCTACTGAAAAGCAAGTTTTATGAGTGCATAATTTAAAAAGTTCAAAGATCACTCCAGTGGACAGCAAGGCGGAGGGATTCATTCTATACTTTCAGATCATTTATTAGGAAAAATAAAGCATGCTAAAGAAAGGCAAAGAAAATACAGCAAATATTTTACATTTTAAAAATTGAATTTCTAGGCCAGGCATAGTGGCTCATGTTTGCAATCCCAGCACTTTGGGAGGCTGAGGCGGGAGGATCGCTTGAGCCCAGGAGTTCAAGACCAGCTTGGGCAACATAGTGAGACTCCATCTCCACAAAAAAAGTAAAAAATTAGCCTGGCATGGTAGCACGTGCCTGTGGTCCCAGATACCCTAGAGGCTGACATGGGAGGATCACTTGAGCCTGGGAGTTTGTGGCTGCTGTGAACCGTGATCGTACCACTGCACTCTAGCCTGGCCAACAGAGTGAGACCATGTCTCTTTAAAAAAAAAAAAATTAACTTTCAGTGTATTAAGCTTGATATTTTGTCTGTGTTGTTTGAGGAACTTAAACTTGTTAATTGTTTCATTTATGTCCTTTCATGTTATACACACTAGTTAATACTTAGTAGAGTAACTACAGAAGGACAAACAGCCCGTGAGTGTGGTGCTGTTTACTGATGTGCTCTTCATTGCTAGGGAATCATTCCTGAAGTGGCTCATTCTTAACAGGAATGTTTTGTTGGTTGTTTCTTATTTTCATCATCATGTTAATGAGCTGCAATCAGCTTTGTTGAGATAAATTAGTATGTAATCGTTTTAAGGGTTTATGTGTAATATACGAATACTTGAATTGGGCCCCTAGAATAAGGCAGTAAAAAGCTTCCTCTGGAAAGTGTGATGTGAATTACTTTTGTCTTAGCTCATCTTGAAAGAAGCCTCACTTGATGGTATCCTGACAAGAAGTAATTGACCTTGGCTAGGTCCGAGGTGGATCGTGTTTTACTAACCTTACTCCATCATGAGATTGGCTTTAATGTGCTAAATCAACATTTTTGACCGGTAGAACATTTTTAGTAAAATTGACATGTCATATTAACAGACATTATATTAATTCAAAATTTATTTTCCTTTTAGTTCGCAGGAAGATGAAAGACCTATTTCACCTTTCTATTTGAGGTATTTATTTGATTTTTGTTGGTCTACTACAGGGAATAAAGGAGGGTTAAGGCTTCTTTGGGTTTATTTGCTCATTTTAATCCCTTTCAATAGAACATTCATTACTGTGGCCAGACTAAGCTTGCTGGAGCTCTTTACCTTACTGTATTTTCCCCTTTGGTTCAAGAAATATATTTTTTAAATGTCTAATATAGTTCAAACAACTAAAATAAGATATTTTGTTTTAAATTTGAAAGTGCCAAAGTGATCATTTTAATTTAAAATCTGCCCGATGATTAGCCTGTAAGCAAAGTTAAAAATCTCTATTTTATACATATACGTATGCATAGGTTAGTGGGGGCCAATGGGTACAAGACCCA